CTAAACTCAGTTTATCAGAAACGAAAAACAAACCAAAACAAGAACAAAAAACAACAACAAACAACACGACTAGTTTAGCATTAAAATAAAATTGAGATAAAAAGTGGAAATAAAATATATTAAACAAAAAATGCATATAAATGGCAATTCGTGTTTTTACTCGAGCAATTTTGGTTATGTAGCACCCAATTTATTGGGTCCAACTTACTTTTTGACTACATTGATAACGGAATAACGACATTTTTATAGGTTATAACCCTTTATGTAAAAACATGTATTCTTTTTTAAAGATTTACAGGTCCTACGACACATTGCTTACAGATGTTATTAATTAGTAAGAATATTACATACCTCAGCCTTATAAACAAGTAAGGATCAGAAATATCAATTCCTCACAAAGTAGTTGATCGACCAAGATGACGAGGAGATAACTCTTAGACTACTTAGTACAGTCCTTTGTGAAGCCAGTTAAAAATTATATTAACTCTCGACAAAGCGCATTGAAACTATCACAAATCTGTTTAGGTAATATAAATAAAGATCCATTTCGAGTTTCCTACTTTTTAAAGAAAATACACATAAACTTCATATTTAATGCGAAATGTTTATTCTCATTCAAAAGAACATTCTTTGGTATTTATTTTTTGAAGATTTCCTCTTTCAAAAGTTGGCCGCGACTACGCCTGAGATAGTCCATCAACTGAGACCACTTTTCGATTATTTGCTCGATTTCGACTGATAACTGGCGAATGACACATGACATTTTGATCCAAGGCTTGAATGAAAGCTAAATTGACCAGACTTTAGACTTTACATATCGCCACAGGGAAAATTTTAACGGTTCAAAACGTGAAATTATTAGTTCTCCGAAGTGTTCTCTCAATAAATACATTGGTAGATACGATGTATTCTATGTGGCTCTGTTTTGTTGAGACCAAGTGTCGCCGACATCAGGAGTTTTCTGTTCTCTCAATAAATACATTGGCAGATACGATGTATTCTATGTGGCTCTGTTTTGTTGAGACCAAGTGTCGCCAACATCAGGAGTTTCAATTTCAGGCATCAAATAGTCAGTGATTATGGCGTGATGACGATCGCCATTGATGGTATCATTTTTCAAAAATTTAGGCCGCTGATTCCACCGGTTCACAAACCACAACAAACCGTTTTTCTGCTCGGCCTAGATTGACATGGATTCAGTATCTTTTAATGGCTGCAATGGAGTACTCGAAGGGAAAAGAGTCACAGGAAGCCAAATCTTCGCGACGACGAGTGAGCGATGAATCTCATTTCGTGCTTTCCCAAAATATCAGTCATAATCCATGTATTTTCGGCTCACAAATCCGGTCGTCTACCAGGGATTGCTTCACATGAACGCTGATAAACCGGTAAGTAGTGTTCCTTATTGACCTTTTGATACTGTGGAACGAATTCTTGGTGAAACACAGCACCATCATACATGGAAACGATGAGATCAGCTTGGTTTTTAGCCGACTTTGACGTGGTTTTTCGGTTTTGGCTAATTTTTTTTGAGCGCTATACGCTAGATTGTTAGAGAGTTTCAATGTCAGATTCATAAACTCACGTCCCGTCACCAGTATTAATGCGTTTCATGATTGAAGGGTCCTCAGCTGCTATGTCAAGCAACTTTCTTAAACTATTTTCTATTTTTTCTAATTCTAAAAAATTAAACAAAATATGTTTTTGGCATTTTAGGTATAATTATTAATTATTTATTTTAGTTTATTAATGCAAATAATCACTGATTCATTTTCTCATTAATTGTTTGTTATTAATTTGTTTTCGCAACTAATAATAGTTTATTTAACTATATTACAAAATCTAATGATTCTTCTTGCATTTTTTTACATTTATTATTTTTGTCAGTTTATAATTATTTTCGCACTTTAATAACTTGTCATCAGATCTGAATATTTTTCACTTTTAATTCTTTGCTTTCATCAATAATTAAAATATTGCATTTGATTACATAACTAGTTGTGTATATGTACATAGGTATGTGATTATACGAATCTAGCCCTAAATAATAAGATTTTTAATTATTATTTTCAGCAACGCATTTATTTGTAAATTTCTTTAGTTTTGTATAATTTTAACATTAGCTTGGTTTATTGTTGTTGTAGTGCAGTGGCTTTTTCGCGAAATCTGTAAAAGCTGGCAAAAGGCAGATAAACTTGTTGGGGAGAATTATATTTTCTTTTTTGATAGTTGCAATAAGAGTGGAGAGAGAGTGAAATTAGTAAAATAGTTAAATTTTTTAATTTTTTGGTAGTTTTTTAAATTATTTTTTAATATTTTAAAATATTTTTTTAATACTTTAAAAAGTTGTTAGTAAAGTTATAAATGATAATAGCGATGTTTAAAAAATATAACAGAAATATTTGCAAATTTTTGTAACTTTTAAATGTGCTGTTGGAGATTGTACAGGTTTGGGACTAAAGGCTATTTCGGTCATAATTCCGATTAGGTCACATGTCAAATTTGTTGTAAAATTTATACAGAAGATCTTTATGTGATAAGAAAAATCGCTTGTCTTTTGTTGTCGAAATTACAATAACAAATAAAAATAAAAA